GGCCCTGCGCGCGCACGGCCTTGCCGCGCGCGTGTGCGGCGCGCAGTACGCTTGCCCCGAGCCCGCGCTGGCCGGCTCGTCCTCGCGCCCGCTGGCCCTGACCGCCGTTGCCGCCACCCCCGTGCTGCTGGAGACGCGCGGCGACGAGGTCCGCCGCTACGCCCTCAACTCCTCCGACATGCTCGAGAAGCAGGAGGAGCCCGATACGCGCTCGCTGTCGGAGCGCATCGTCGCTTGGTTGACGCATGTGTACCTACCGCAGGGGTATCCGCATACCACTACGCCGGATTATATCTCGTTTACAAAGTACCGCACGCTTCAGAACCTCGCCTCGGCTATCATGTCCGTCATCTCCACGGAAGCACTGCTGTTCGGCCTGGGGCTCGGGAAAACCGTCGCCGCGAGCGCGGCGGCGATTAGTTGGGTACTAAAGGACGGCGCTAGTTACTTGGTGAAGATCGGTTATGGAGGTACGTTTGGCTCCAAGTTTGACGATGACCCTAAGAGTTGGCGCATTGCCGCAGACATTGTCGAGGATATCGGTGGCGCTATTGAGATCTGCACACCGTTGTTTTCGCTCGCCTACTTCCTACCACTCGCTTCGTTGGCGGTTTGTTTGAGGGGTATGTCTGCGATGACTGGCACGGCCACACGTCATGTCGTTTATCGCTCGCTAGCTACTAGTGGCATGCAGAATACGGGCGATATCGCCACCAAAGGGGAGAGCCAGGGCGTCACCATGAAAATGCTTGGCCTTGGCACGGGCGTTCTTGTATCCTCGCGGATCGGCCAGAATTACTATGCTTTGCTCGCTGCCTATGCTTCACTGGCCGTGGTGCATATCGTTGCGAATTGGCGCTCAGTTCAGTGCGTTCAGTTTTCCTTCTTTAACAAGCAGCGCGCTTCCCTCGTCATCGACAGTCATCTCAACGGTGAACAGCTGCCGAGTCCGTATGATGTGTCGCATACGGAGAAGATTGTGCTCCCGCCGTGGCTTGGTTTTCAACCTGCCGTTAAGATTGGAGTTCCAGTTACCGATGCTGTCTCGAGCTCGGAGCAGTTGCGGCAGGCGATAAAGCTGTTTAGGGGAGAGAAGTTTTTGATTCTCACTCAGGATGAAGGCAAGAAAGTCAGGGTACTTTTGAGGCCGGAAGCGACTTCTAGGGATGCGTTGAAGGCATACTACACGATCAAGAAGTATATGCAGTCAAATTCTTTGTCGCCTGACAAGCTTGCAGAGTCGTACAAGTATATGAAGCGCAACTTATCCAATTTTGAAAGCAAAGCAGCCGCGGCTGGCTGGGACACCAGACATATGCTCCTGACTGATGGGAGGAGTCGAGTAAAATGGTGACCCTTCGGTAGGGATTTCGTCCCATGCTGAGTCGCCGAACTGTATTTTTTTTGTAAAAGCAGTAACAACATTGTCGAAATAGCGTCCTTCAATGAGGTATGCACAAGTGCTCTTAGCTGGATAGCTGCGCTGCTTGCCGGGTTACATTGACGCCATTTTAGGCCTGCGAAAATTGAAATTGAACAATTATTTATTGTGTAATCATGCTCCGCTTGTCCTACACGAGCAATAGACACTGCTCTTAAACACACAGCTCTACTAACGCTACTACAAAGTAATAGCAATATCTTTGGAAAGTTAGTTATTAGTCATAGTACAATACAGTTTCGTGGACTATTCTTTTGGTTTTCGGTCGAGAAGTAGTGCATAGGCTGCAGCAAGATCTGCATCACATTCTTCAAGAGCCGACATTGACTCTTCCGATGAAAATCCTAGTGAAGAAAGCTTCGCGATGAGTTCAGGGTCTCTCGGATCTGCAGATGGATTTTGTGGGGCGTGAGGCGGTTTCGAGTTCAATGGTAGCAAGAATGGACTCACTTGGCTCCTTCCGAAAAGCAAAGGCTCGGCCGGCGCCTTTCTTGAGATTGATTCTTGCTTCTTACTCACTGCAATACCTTGTAAGTTAGACTCACTGGCTAGAGTTATCACAGTTTCCACATGATTTCCTTTCTCACCACCCTGAAAGCGAGCCACAAACCCTGCTGGAGCTTCAACAGCATATGCATTGGAGGCCAGCAGAGGATTCAAAAAGCGAATAATGAACATCTTCCCCGATTTCCCTCCATCGGTACCAACTTGCATCACTATCCTTCCAGAGATATCCTTCGCACGATCCGCTGTCCCATCTGCCTCAAAGAGAGATACTGATCTCTTCTCAATTGTGGATGTTGGCTCTTGCACCCATGCACCAGAGTCAAGGGAAGAGCAAACCAGGCGTAACGCATGCTCCGTTAGATTCACAACAATCAGTCGAACTGATCGAGCAGCGTCAATTGAAATTGCAGATGCGCTGTTTGCTATCTTTTGTAATTGGAGTGATATGTCTTGGTCTGTTAATGACATGTTTTGGCTTCGCACTGTATTCGAAGAACGCCCGGGAAGCTTCATGTCCGTGAATACACCGCGACGTCCGTCAACAGAGGCATCTTGATGGAGGCTCTTCAATTCATACATATTTCCGGATTCTGTTCCTTGCTGCATAGAATTGGATAAATCGGCCAATTCGAGGGAGCCATCGCGATAGTGTTCCCGCACTCCTTGTCCAGCCGCCGATTTCTTGGCCAGTAGAATGTTTTGGGGGATGGGAAGAACCGCTTTGGTTGTTATCCGCAGGTCGTCAAGAGCCTTCCGCAAAGCTGTGTTGAAGTCGTTTCTAGACGAAATGGATCCGCAGTGGATCTTTTGCCATCCGGTCGGCGCAGTCGTCCTTGACTTTTGTCCTAACGGACGAATTCCAACCATTAAATAGTCCTTTGCAGCAACCGAAACTTGCGTATCGGCGATATGCAATAACGGATACTCCCATATTACATGGCCGTCTAACGATGCTACAATCAATCGTTTGTTCGTCACCAGACCGGCTCTCATTTTTTCTGCTCTTTGTGGGTTGCCTTGGGCATCGAGCAAATATTTTGTATGGAAATGAGACGAGCGCGTGCTTCGTCTCATCAGCGCCCACAGAAACGCAATGACATCGTCCTCCGTTGCGCCGGAATGAACAGCTACAAGGTGTGTCCAGGAGAGTAGTCTCTCCTCATTTGACTGATTTTCTCCACTGTTGACAACTCTGAGAATAGCATGTCCGAGAGCCGCGCGCAGGTCGTAGGATATCATTTGGTCAGCATTTGCACCCCAGAATGCGCGCGGAGGACGAGCTGGTTCAGCAAGACCATGAGACCGATCGGATACCATCATGCTGCGAAACCCTGCTGCTGGTTCAGCAATTAGGTCGAGAGCTCCAGTGATTGGTTTTAGCATTCCACCGATGAAACCTTTTCCTAGCCCCTTGATAAATCCCGAAGGTCCCTCTTCAGCGGCTCCTTGAATCGGGTCTCGAATTAAACCAGCTGCTCCCGAAGCAATTCCATGACCAAAGCTGAGCGCGCCGGTGTAAAGACCCTGCGCCGGAGAGGATGCAATTCGAGCACGACCTCCGCGAATAGAGTCACGTTCTGCGAGGTACTCACGGTCGCCAACTGCCGTCTCTAGTCCCTGCGCAACAGCTCGGGGGATGCCACCCAAAGATCCAACGATCCCTCCTACGGTATTCGTCAGTAATGACGAAGATCCACGGCCAATGCTTGCGATAAAATCAGCAGATCCTTTCGCATTTGCTGGTTCGACGAAAAAATCTCGCGTCCCTATTGCAATGGAGTCAAAGAGCGCTGATGGATTCCCGATCAATGAGTTTGATGCCAGTAGCACCATTTTTTGGTTTGAACCTTGTGAGACGTAGTACTCTGTGATTAACGAGCGGAAATGAGATGCAGTATCGAAAACATGCTGCAATTCAAGAGCATTGAAGCGAAATTCTGCGTTCTCAACATTCCCAAGAACAGCCACCAGTGTTCGAATAAGAGACCTGAACCCGCCAATATGTTCTGCAGCACTTGATGTTCGGGACGATGTGAATGAAACAGATAACTTCAGTGGGCACAACTCCAGGTGTTCAACGTAGATACGGTTAAGAGCACCACTTGCTCTACCTTTCGTAGCTACAGCCCGTTGTTTTGTCCCCGTAGTTGCGTTATCATTCGCAAGAAGAGCAAGGCCAGTTTCCGCACCATCCTTCCCATCAAGTGCTTCTTCCCTCTCTCGATTCGAGCCACCAGCTGCTTCAAGCAGCGAAACCACAAAGAGCCAAACCCGAAGAACAAAATCCTCGTCGGCTGCGAGTTGCAGCTCTTGGAGTGCGACGAAAATCCCACGAAAACTTCCAATGCGTTGCTCAATTGCAGGGTACTGTCCATGAAGTGTGAATTGAAAAAATGGCTTACGGGGTGGCTCCCGGCGTGTAGTCTGACTGGAAGACATTCCATCCTTTGCTCTCTCTGTCATTCGTCCGATCACACCTGTGGATGGTGGCGGGGGAGACCACAAAACTACAGGCCATGTGCAATGTGAAAGCTGGTTGTCCAACTGTAGATCCATGACTTCGCAAATCACTAGCTGTTGACCATCGAATCTATCTAACCGGAAATGAATGCCAGAAACAGAAAGATAAGCAAGTTCAGCTGGTGTTGATTCCACAAACGATATTCCAAGGCCTTTCACAAAAAGCTCGACATCGACGTTTCCACTAGCATCCGCGGTATCTGATGGTCCATAGCTTTTGCTGTTGGCTGCAACTTCAATAGAATCCTCGACTTCTCCTCTTTCAATTTGTTTCGTACTCTTACTGGCTTTGCCCTCACCATCTCGAAAGGTTACTACTTTCGTGGGGCCGTCAACATGAACGGATATGCAGAGAGGTGGATCAAATCGTTTCGAATTCGAAAACGGGATGTCTTTTCTGATTATGTCAATATTGAGGTCAAACTTCGAGGCCTTCGCTCCCTTCGGTTTTCTGACAAGCCCTCCTTGCAGCCGAGTAACGTCTGACTCATCTGCGTGCGCAGAATCAGCTTCACTCGTCGCAAGTAAGGTAACATTACCCGCCCCATCTCTCCCGCTTGTCCCTTCCAGCACTTCAATCACTAGAGAGCGGCGCTTGACTGGAGCTTGAGGGTCATCCCACGAGTAACGAGTAGACTTGCCGGGCCTGACCAACCATGGGTGGGTTTCGTTAACTCCCGACTGTCGGAATGCTATGGATCTTGCGTTGCATAGGTTGACAATCCTGTAAGGTGGGGTGCTTCTATCCTCTTTGTGAACGATAATAGACGAAACTCCATTTCCTATCTTGGAAACGACTACACGGGCGATGTATTGCTCATGCCGCTTTGGACGATACATTTTTGCTGCAAATTCTCCTTCCACTCCCGTAACGAAAACGGGACGCGACCATATCCAATCGCTCAAGCCATCCGCAGTTGCTCGTCGAAAACATAGCGCAGTCTTATGGGATCGAAAGTCACAATGAAGAGCACAATGCTTGTCTGGTTCAATTGAATGTACTTTTGCTGCAAGAGCTATCCCATGAGGGTTAAGGGCCTCTGGTTGACACCATTGGAGAAGAGCACCTGTGCGGTTCTCGAGCCAGGCAGCGTTCCTTATTGTAACTACAAGAGCCCGTTGAAATCGACCTTTCGCCGGCCGCACTTCAAGGAAGAGGGATAAGCCATCAAATTTTATGGGTACAGGCTTGTCAATTTCGGAAACCTCCGTTCCAATGTTAACCCAAATGTCTTCTGTAACATCAACTCTTTGAAAGGACATCCACGAGCCTGAAAAACAAATAAACTTTTCTGCCACGGTTCCAGGAGGGCAACCACGCAAGAATGCCTTTGGACTTCCCGATTCATATCCATCACGCCCTGGTCCGTGATTTCGGAAGAATAAGTCCGTATCCGAACGGTTCCTAATCCAGAATTCGCAATATGCCCGTACATACCTTGTATTCACCCGTTGCTCTTGAATGAGACTGAGCTTCAACGGAGTATATTTGCCTGCACCCATCGATATGGACCTCAAACTTGCCAAATTCGGATGATAAGTACCAAAGCTACGGTGTGGTGGCGAATGGGAAAATATGTTTGTCTCTGATGCTTGGGGACTGTTGTCAAAGCCCATGGAAATCGAAAGAGCATTCAAATCTGATCCTGCGGTATGAATATGAGCTTCACGCGAGGGCTCGATCGTCCCATACCCAACCACCTGTTCCTTCCCAGAAGCACTGATGGCACCAGAGGTGGCAAGCTTAAAACTCAGCCTCCGGGGCATGATATTCTCAATAACAAGTGGCGGACAAATGTGAACATCGACCCATGAGCCGACACCACTACCCCCATCGATGGGACTTTCAGCCTTTGTATCTACTAGTGGGAAGATAGACATGCAAAAGAAGCCTCGAGCTTCTGCTTTCCTGCATGTCAGAATGGGAGCTATCGGCCCGTGTGTTTTCAGTTCGCCATCACTTCCTGTTCGAGCTTTTGCTCTCAAGCTTTGAGCTATTGTATGCAGAGCCGACATCTTGCTTAACGGATCACTCCAGGTGTAGCTATAGCGCACTCTTCCCCTCGCCTTGGGGCGTCGGTCGTTATCTTCATACAAACCCATATCATTGTCAGGGGCATGGAAAATAGCAGGTCTGATACGAATAGATCGGTTGACTGAGTGAACCGGAACTGACCAAGAAGCTCCTGCCTTCAGCAATACTGTTGCCTTTCTATCGACTCCTTCCGAACCTCTTGCGCACAACGATTTCATCTGCTCACCAGCGCTTGCAGATTTCGAGAGATCACCGGCATTGACTTCCAACACAGTACTCGTTTTGTTCACAAGACGCAATAAAGATCGAATACATCCACACGGAACCCCGTGTTTCATTGATACGGCCCATACAAATGTTTGCGAGGTGAGTTCGCCCCGATTCCCAGACGGTAATGTTCCTAGTTCACGTGTATCGGGCACTAGCGTTACAAGTCGCGCACCAGTTTCAGCAGTCGATAAAGTAACAGCTTCATATCCGCTGAAAAGTAACACGCACCGCATGGCAAGCTGACGATTTTTGTTTGGATCGGAAGACAACCCTCCGCTGGCACCAATGGCGGTCCACAGCATCTCATCAGTGGGCGTATCAACTTCTCTCTCATCTCCATTTCCTCGCAGGGTCCACCTTGTGGAATCATGAAGAAGCCACATCACAAGACTACGACCAGTTTCGTTTCTCACACTGAAAGCAGCAACACTTGGTCGACGGGCACCCGCTTCGGGTGCACGGAAGCTGGAACTCAGATTTCTCGAAAGCACTGTCCCCGAACCAGACCCTCTGTCATCTACTTCTGCCCTCATTCTTGAAGCTAAATCTTCAATCGCCGACTTCAACGCGTTCGAAACTCGAGCGGCTCCGGAGACTGTAATCGGGGTCACGTTGATGTCAATGACTCGTTCAGCTCGCACATTGACCGCTCGCGATCCAGACCGACCTTGCGATGCAGCAAATTCGATTGGAAAGGTCTCAATGCCTGGTTCCCACCATCCTTTCTCCTCGTTGAAGAGGTCCAGAGCAAATTCGAATGCAGCATTAAGAAGCCACGGGAAATTTGATCGGAGAACAGCATTTCTGAGACGTGCTTCCATAATGGGCACATACCTTCCCGCAGTCTCATCTGTAAACATAAGTCTACTGTGAGGAAGAGCGAAGTGGATGGCAAGCCGGGCATCGCCTTCCTCCCCTTTGTCAATCCATTCGTCAAACCGACCAGGCTGCGGCGGCCGCACTGAAAGCACGCTCGACTGTAACCTCACTAACCGAGAACCCACAGCAAGTATCAGTGGTGCATCGTTCACGTCAATTCGCACCAAAATCGATTCAGCATTAACAGACAAAGTCGAGCCAGGAGCCTTGATGGGCTCCTCTCCTGGGGTTTTCGGGGGATCATATCCACTACCGTCAAACTTCATAGAGACGTCACATGGATATAACATCGGCGTTTCTACATCGGTGTTCCATGACGAAGATGATCGCTTAAACAACGGGCTGCTCGGTGCAACCGGAAATGCACTACGGTGGGGTCCCAAGATCGACAGGTTCACATGAATACCGTTTGCCGCTACTTCGACACGATTGCGTCCCGTGACAGCCGCCCATTGTACCTTAGCAATGACGTCACCGCGAATAACCAGAGAACGAGCATCACCTGGATATTGATTCGCCATTAACCAGACTTCTGGTCTAGAAATCGTCAGTATTAAAAGTCGTCCATTAAATCGCAGGAGCGGAGCAGGGGCAGATGACTTCAGAAAAGGGAACCCAGGCGCCGTCAAATTCCCAAGATCCCTGAAGAGCTCTGGTTCAACAATAATACGCAGGTCCGATGCAACCACCATCACATTCGCACGGAAACCGAATGGCCGGTCCCAGGTCAAAGCGATGGATCTATTGTCCTCAGATATATTACCTGAGCTGTCCTCTTGAGGCTTAATATCACCGTCATATGAATTGCTGAATTGCTCGAACTTCCGAGTTGTCGGCATCACAAGTGTTTCCCCGTAAGTTGGAGCTGACGGGCGAATATCCACAAGGGAATTCATGTTGGCGCTCACCTCGACAGACATGCGGTAGTCAACCCCATATTCAAAGCACCCAAGGAGGTCTCGGAGTTCGGACTTGATAAGCTTGGCCTCTTCGGCTCGGGGATCCGCTCCATACATTATAGTGCTCTCAATTACTGGCACTTCAAATAGAATTTGATAGTTTGCCGGCATCCGGTTTGACGAAAACATTATTGGTTGTACTGGTTTTCTTCTTGGAAGAACTGGCGTCTTCAAACCACGCACAATGTCCGTGAATTCAATATCTGGTCTCTCGATCACGTTTTCCGTAAAAGTGAAATAAAGAATGCTATACTCTGCTTCACATAGCCTAGCATAAATGCCATTGGGTGCACATACCCGTACCCTTATTGTTGGTAGCCACTTCGCCGGGTCGTACTCTCTTTCTTCTTCCCCATCTTTCAACACTGGGATACCATCTGTATTTAGAATAACCTGCGGAACTCGGCGACTCCGCCATGCATCAAGTTTCGCGACAATACATATACCCTCTGCAAATGGGGTCAGATCCGATATTGGGCATGTCGGTGATATCTGTTGCAAGACCGGCTCTTTTCCACCGAGAGTTAAAGCTCTCCCTTCCCCCTCAGCTGGTGGCCGATACAGGACATGAGCGTTTACGTCTCGAGCATTCACTTGAAATCCGATGCGATATCCTGGGGACGGACGATCTTCATTTGAAATTGATGAGTGCGGTACAAAGAACCGCAATGCCTCATAGGGGCTCTGTGAATGACGGGGCATCACAATATCCACATTCTCCGTCACTAGTTTCAAACGCATTCGACCAGTAAGCCTTGGAATTGCGGGAAACTCTTCATGTTCTTCACCTTGAAATACTTCGCCTATGCCTCCCTTCATTTCCAGAACTGGTTTCAAGCTATCTCGCAGTGCATCAAAGTACTTCTTCAGAATGATGATGAAGCGCTGTAAGTACACAATGCGCAAATTCGTCAAACGGGCCTCTAACCATACGTCTTCGGTTTCTGATTCTGGAACGCTTAGAGACCATCCATCGCCTTCCTCAGACCCATAATTTGGGTTAATCCCCCTGCGCGTATACCTGATAGTCTCAGAGTAAACCTCATGCGCAGATGTGAGGTCTTGAACACCGAAACCACCAAGGTTCCCCGATGCTTCAATCGCCCCGTTGGAGAATTGCGTAAGACCTACGCGACAATTTGTGACGTCAAAGCTTCCAATCGCACCATCAGCGGAGACGAGGGTAAGGTTTAGACCGTCTAAATCTGCAGTGACGTGCAGACGACCTCTATTGGCAATAGCCTGTTTTGTCTGTTCCATTCTGCGCTCAGCCTGTTCCCGTAGAGCCTTAGCGGCGCTGGACGTCGTCATACCAAGTGCGTTAAAAGGATCCGAATATACCACGTCGTCACTGTTCGCCTCTCCTCCACCGCGAACCGCTCTATCAGTACCCGCAAACTGCTGTGCATCACCAGCGTGACTGACATGGGACGCTCGGTAAGAACTTTCCGGTGTTTGAATTTTGTTCTTGTTCAAGTAGAAGAAATCTGCTAGGGCGAAATAGGTCTCTCGAACGCACACCATATGCAGTGACAGTATCTTCACGGCCAAAGACTGCTCGTGATTTACTAAGTCACCACGGTACGACAGCACTATGAACGTGGTTTGGTCTCCGTGGGCGAAACTGTCTTCAGGGGCGGAGTCAGATGCTTGAAGCCCAGACCCATAGTGGTTCATCCCCGCATACGCCAAGCGACGGAACGGAGCTGTTGCGCCTCGACTCCCGTCAATGATTGCAAACGTCCTTACCCGAAAATCGAAGTCTACGAGCTCTGGCCTCTTCATCAATTTGATCATGGTCCCGGTTGAGGATAATGTGACAACACGCTTCGAGCCTGAATCGCGTAGTTCAAGTTGAAGGTCTTCAAAATCTAAACTCATTTCAAATGATATGAGCGCAGATTCTGAGCGTTCCACGATGCCATTCGATACCACCGTTTCACCACCGCCATGAGCGAACCGCACTTCTTCAAGCTCTGCAGACATGGAGATGGAGTTCGAAACTGGATTCGGTTCAATGCCGCTGCTGACAAACTGTCTTGGTGCACGATCTCCCCAACCCTTTGCAATACCTAAGATTTGACGAAAGGCATCGTGTGATACGGAAGTTCGCAATGAAGGCATCTGGGCTCTGAGCTTGACCTTTGTGTGCTGGAAAGGCCGTACACATGTGTTACGGCTTCCACAAAGGATGAGTTATGCAGCACTTGTAGGAGCACATGCACCGAAAAAGGTCTGATAATGCGCTCCGCTGCTTGTTTCCCCGCTTTTGAAACTACGAAAAGCCCCAAGTCACTAACGGCCATCTTGTAATCCGTGTATCGAATCGATATTGAATTCTCGCGTGGCATGTCCATGGGGGAGTCGCATTTAGATGCAAGTGTCTCTGAACTGACAACCTCTGATGGGCCTGTGGAGGTTTCCATTGCGAATGTACCAAGGTCCAGGACGAGAGACACGTCGCCCCCAGAAGAACCTGGAACGACGAAACGCGGTCCTCGAATAAGCATATCCATTCGCATTGGGACAGACCTATCTAGGATTGCTTTCTGGATGTCCATCCGCAATGATGCAAGCCGTGGCGCCGCCGCTCTGCTCAGAAATTGCATGATCGAAGGCATTTTCTCCCTCGGATGCCAAAAAGCAACAGATGAAACGAAAGCTCCTTTTGGTCCGTCAACAAGAACTTCCATGCCACCGATTGCTAAGTCCATGGCCATTCTTGTGGCACCACTTGCCCACTGCCCTTGAGGGGCTTCCTCATGGTTCAATCGCAGTGCGGCGATGTACTTCAGTGGAGTGTGGGATACAACAGAAAGATCCTCAATATTCTGAACGGATACTCCCGAGATCCCCCCATCAGATAGGGCTGAAATAGAGCCCGATGAGTCGCTTCCAAAGCCCTCCTTGAATTGCCCTACAGTCGGAAACGATGGGCTCGTGGCTGGCAGTGGTTCACTCTCTAGTCCATATTCGCCTCGAATTTCGCAGATGGCGTTTGATATGTCGTGTGGGTAGGAATGCAGATGTGCAACTTCGATACCAGTAGTCTCTTTAGCTCTTTCATTGAACGTCTCTACATTTTCTGAGTGCTTTTGAGACTGGGCCCAATCGTCCGCGAGGTCAGACATGAGTTGATCTGAATTACGGCGCGCGGGTAGCGATGAGTCCTCATTTAAACCGTTTCTGGTGGTCTTAGTCTCTCCAGCCCATGGAGCGCGTGGGTACATAACTTTCATTTGCTTCTGCAAATCAATCACTTGAAAAGTTCCCAACAAGGCCTCAAGCAACATTCCCGCTCCAGGTCTTGTTTCAATACCTATTCTTAGTTCTCCAAACTCAAGGCTAGAGACTGGCATTGGAGCATCAGGAAACCCACCTTCTTTCAGTTCAATAGATCCCTTTCCAAGCAAGAACCCCATTCGAAAATTTGGGATAGTGGCTTCCTCGCCTTCGTCAAAACTATTCTTCGATAGAGCTTCGGAAAAGCTACTCTCCTGTGATGGTGGTCGAATTTCGTTAGACATTTCAAAGATATCATCCGATTGCCGTTCAGAAAATGATGTCCTTAAAGAACCACTTGGTGTTGCTTCAGTCTGGGCACCATCGGAAGGCTGCGTTAAGCCATCGTTGCGACTCCTAGACCTCTCCGACGTCCCCTTGTCAGAACTCGCGGTGGAGACCGCAGCCCCACTGTCACGCCCTTGTCGCGAGAACAGCGACCAAAATCGACTCGTGGATACCGCACTGGCGCTCGCCTCCTTAGCTGCAGCGATTAAGTCCCTATCTGCTAAGTCACGAAATAGAATGACGTCCCTGTAAGAAAGGTCAGCCTCTAGTTCTTCTACGATTTTCGCTTCAGTTTCCGGCTCCCTAGAACCTTTCCGTCGCGAAGTTACGATGATGTTTCTTGCACGGCAGTAATCTTCACGCTTTTTCCGTCTTTCTCTGAGACCTGTGGCATTGAAGCGCAAAACAGCCTCCCTCCGTTCCTTAAAGCGAGGGAGAAGACGGTCGAGGGCCCAGAACCACCTTCCCCTTGCAGTCTTAGGTCGCACCTTTCGGTCGATATCTGAAAGATACATGATTGTGGATAGCAGCGTGTGGTACTGGAAGTCGTCTAAAATGATTTGGACTTCCGGAAAATGTAAATCCATCTGCACCCTTGGAATCTTTCGGAGCTCCAAATAGTTCTCGTCCTTGCCGGCTAAGGCGGCCGCCAGTGCGGCACTTTTAGTCAAGGAAATTCTCAGCTCGCCATCTATTGGCTTGATAGCATGCCTGGAGCACTTTCTGACGAAACCAGACCATTGACCGGGGATTCGCTGCGCTTCCGCATCTAAGATCCAGCCCTTGATAGAGTTGTTCGCATTGCCGGGCTCCCAGTTTAGGACTAAGCCACGCATGTAAAGTACTTTGTGTACCACAGGAGATGACGGATTCTCTATAAACACCGGCTCCCACACATGATTTGTTGAACAAGCCCTGAGAGAATCCAACGCTATAGTTGCCGTGTAAGGGCGGTCCCGCACACTGCTTGCATCCTCGTACTGCACGACAACGTTCTCAACATCTATTTGAATGTTATCTACAATTTTCGTGACAACTTTGCTGGTGAAGTTCCAACCCCACCTTGCGACCCGGTATCCACTCTGAGATCGACTACCGTCGCCCGCTGGCGGTTTACCGTCCGCAGCGCCATCCTTGCCTTGCCCGTCTGATGGAGGATCAATGGAAGACGAAGCATTTTGATGTCCTGCAAGACTGAATTTTGCATCGCGGACAGCCTCATCTGTGGCGAGGCGCGCTGCCTTCAATCGCTTCTCTCGCAACTCTAGAGCAGCCTGATCACCGTCAGACACCGGGGAGGCAACGACGGTGACATCGTGCATGTAAATCCGCACGGGAGCTGAACGCAAAGCCTTCCAGGGGACCTCCAACCTCAACAAACCAATGTACCCCGCCGTAACTGTGACCGGCAAATCGAGTCCGAGAGTCTCAAACAAGACTGCGAGGGCATCTGGGCGCAAGCGCAAATGCTTAAGCTCGAGATCACCGCTCCAGACTCCCAGTCGAATACTGTCCTTATTCAAGCCGTCGACGTAGCTTCCTAAGACTCGCACAAGAACATCGGCAACGATTCCCTCCAACATGGTGTGATGGGAGCGATGATGAGTGTCGCAAAGTCAGTTGTTGACACGTTGAAGATGATTGCTGACGAACGGCTTTCACATGGAACGTTGGCGAAGGCAATTTTGCCAAGACTAGTTAGAAGACTGTGTGAAAAGACACTGGGGAACCAGACATGGCTCTGTTGGGCGAGGTCTACGTCGAGGTAAGGGATGGCGAAACTTCTGCATGAGTGGACATTCTGGTTCCCAGCTGATGCGAACGAAGCAGCGTTAATTGGGCATTTCTAGTAAGCAGCTGCTTGGCTGGGTCCGAGTATGATCTAAACTTATCTACCAATGAACAAGTAAGATGCGCCAGTATGAAGGCTGAACGAGAAAAAAGTATGATATATTGTCTGACTCGGAAAATGCGCCCTTAAATTATTTCCCTATTGACAGCATCAGAATGAAAACACCAGCGCCTACTGTACAGTGTAAAATATTCGGTGCGTTGATCAATAAGAGATTCGTTGTCATTCAGGAAGAAATTACTCTCGGGCTCAAACCCCAAGCCCCTACAGAGTCTCTAGAAGATTGCATCCTACAAAACAGAGAAATTGCAGAAAATGAGAAAAGATTGAACGCAAGGACTGAGTAACGAGTGCTCACTCGTTACTCCGTATTGTGACATTTCCCTCCTGATTCCGGTGGCCTTAGTGAGAAAAAGTACGAACTTTAAAGCGTGCGATTGCGTGGAGTTGGTAAACTGATATTTTTAAATGTAATAGCCCCGTTCATATGGACCTGGATGGATAGTTTTGTACAAGCGATTGGGCAGCAGAGCGTTTTCCCTTCATCGAAGACCTTGCGTCCTGCGCCGCGCTTTTCGAGGGAGATAAAATTTAATCTGCCCAGCTCTCGCATGAATGGGAAGCTCTCTGAGAGGCACCATTTTTGTTTGGCAATGCATTTTAAGCTACCATTACCCCAGAACTTTCCTTAACTTTCCCCATGCTAGACTAGAGAAAATGATATAGTCTTCGTTCCCAGTCGTCGTCGCAAGAAAGCAGCAGCGAGAAGAGTACAATTTGCATGTTTGGGCGTGCGATAGATGTTCACAATGGGCATTGCTGGGCCTGGAAAGACACCATCCATTCAGTTTGCTCCATGAAGTAAGGAAGACCAATGGAAACAGGCTGCACGGTGAGATAGTATCTGGCTCTAGAGAGCCCTGCATCTTTCAGGCAGTGTCTTCGTGCCATTGAGAAGGAGTGAGCGCTGTAGTCCCCATTGAGAAGTGCCGGTTTCTGACAGTGCAGTTGCCAAAGTTCTGCTGTACTACTGTACAGCAGCTGCACTACAGCATTCCGGCGACCAGGAAAAAAAGATGCTGACACCATACATTTCTCTGCCCGCTCTTCGAGGAAAAACTGAATTGGATCAGATTTCCCCCGGTCCTGACAGTGGAACTGCAACTGATCTTTGCGTTGGGAGCGTTGTCATACGTGTGCTCCCCGCTTGTCTGGGGCTGTCCCTGCGCATTCGATAATTATGTTCAACACGCCCTGCACCAGCGCGAGGGGTACGTACTTACCTCAGAACGAAAAATTCGCCAGCACCCGTGCTTCTCTTGACAACTGCCTTTTTTCGACTGTACTTCACTCCTCTCCCGGACTCCAGACTTCGGTCATTCCTCTGGCGTCAAGCCAGATTGGTCCCCCACGACGAGGCGTCGAAGTAGCAACCCGGCGGTTTCCGCCGCAGGCAAGATGCCTTCCCTTCGCGATCCGTACACTACCTTAGCATCCCTCGGTCGACGTGCCAACTCTGGTCTGCGTCTCTCGACCCTCGCCGGTACCGACAATGACCCCTCGAACAAGAAATCCACTCGCAAGTCCACCGTCGCTGCCTTTAACCGCATGCGCACGAACAAAGTCGGTACGCTCTTTCGCTCCGAGGACATGGTGTTAGTGAGGCTCTATTTTGACCGCGCCGCAGCGCATGACACTATCGATGAACTTGGCGAGCTCGGCTTGGTTCAGTTCAAGGATCTTAACGAGAATCAATCTGCTTTTCAGCGAACCTTTAGCGAGAATGTCCGTCGCTGTGATGACATGCTTCGAGTTATCCGATACCTCACTGACCAGATCAAGGGTACCGACCATCTCACTCTTGCTCCATCGGCATTCCATGGCCCAGGCACTGGCCCTACGTTTCGACTCGATGACCTCGATGGCCATCTCAACAGCCTCGAACACTCCTTGCTCGAGATGAATGGGAACGCGGAAGCAATATCCACGCAATATAACGAGACTATCGAGTTGCGTTGCGTACTCGAGCGCGCCGCCGAGTTCTTCCGGTCCGCCCCGCGAATGCGCAACTCTAGCTCGCCCTCACCTGGGCCAGGTGCACGACCTCAGAGGGGAGGAAGATCTGGACTCATAGCAGGCGTCATGGGCGAAATCTCCGCCCTGTCGGATGCGCCCACGATTGTGGTTGACGATGAATCTGATATAGATGTCTCGCCCAATGCCTTCAACTCAGGCTTTGGTGCCGCAGGGGACTCCGGACTTCGCATGTCATCAATGCTCTCTTTCTTCACTGGAACTATTGATCGTGAGAAGATGTCCTCGTTCGAGCGAGTGCTCTTCCGCGCCACGCATGGTAATTGCTTCGTGCGATTTGCTGATATCGGAGGAAAGCTTGTTGATCCAGAAAGTGGTGAGGAGAGAGACAAAAGCGTTTTCATGGTTTTTTTCTCGGGTTCGGCCGTCAAGAGCAAGGTCTCAAAAATATGCGACGCGTTTAATGCAAACAGATACGTAGTACCAGAAGACCATGCTAGCCAGATGACCGCCCTCACACACTGTCGGACGAGGTTGGCCGATCTCGAAGCAATCATGGAAACCACAGCGAGTCAGCGATCAGAGATCTTGCGAGGTGTAAGCCAACAAGTGCTTTCTTGGACAGAAAAGGTGAAGCGTGATATGGGAATCTTTCACACATTGAATCTCCTCAATTACGACACAAGTCATCAGCTTTTTATTGCAGACGTGTGGTGTCCAGAATCAGCTCAAGATGATGTGCGAAACGCTCTAGAGATTGGAAGACGTCGGTCGAACGCGCAAGTACCTTCCGTTTTGGAAGAACGACCAAGGGGTCCCAAGGATGTACCTCCGACGTACTTCAAGACCAACAAATTTACCGAAGTTTTCCAAAGCATTGTTGAGTCATATGGAGTTGCCAAGTATCAAGAGGTGAACCCAGCCCCGTTCACAATTATCACGTTTCCATTTCTCTTTGCGGTGATGTTTGGAGATATTGGTCATGGAATACTAATGACCCTATTTGCCGCGTACTTGGTTCGAAACGAGCGACATTACAATGCACTGGGGAAACGAATGGGTGAGATGATGAAGACCTGCTATGATGGGAGATATGTCATTTTGTTGATGGGAATTTTCTCAATATACACTGGATTTATATACAATGAATTCTTCGCCGTTCCAATAGACATATTTGGGTCAAGGTGGAAATATACTGCGGAGAGTGAGATGGCCTGTGGAATTGACAATTGCGTCAACCCTGCAAGCGTCTTACCACCGCTTGCACCATATCCCCTTGGTTTTGATCCCGCATGGAAATCAAGTAAGACAGGTCTAATCTTCTTCAACTCATATAAGATGAAACTATCGATTGTGCTCGGAGTGTGCCAAATGGTGATGGGAATATGCTTATCGTACCGCAACGCTAAATTCTTCAAACAGAGAATAGATATCATCCATGTCTTCATTCCACAAATGATTTTCATGAACGCCATTTTCGGCTACTTGGTGTTCATCATCATCTTGAAGTGGTTTACAGACTATAACTCTGCAGAATGCATCGCAGATCCGAACTGCAGCCCTCCTGACCTTAAGTCTGTGTTAATCGGAATGTTTATGAGTCCAGGGAATCTGCCTGCAGATATGGTCATGTTCCCAGGTCAAAACACAATCCAACTGTTCTTGACAATAGCAGCCGTGATTGCGGTTCCATGGATGCTGTTTCCAAAACCACTCATCCTCCGTGCACGTCACAACAACCGGAAGAGATATATGAGACTCGCAGATGACGAACATTCAACCCCATATGATGACGACGACAACGGCGAGCCTTTCGATTTCGGGGAAGTATTTGTACACCAAATGATCCATACGATCGAGTTCGTCCTGGGTGCAGTCAGTAACACTGCCAGTTATCTTCGGCTATGGGCATTGAGCCTCGCACATGCTGAACTCAGTGACGTGTTTCTAGAGAAGTTGATCTACGGGTCGGTTTCCTCAGGGAATCCTATAGCGATGATGATTGGTTTCTTCATGTGGGTTGGAGCGACACTGGGTGTGTTAATGTTTATGGAGTCGCTATCAGCCTTTCTTCACGCGCTGAGATTGCACTGGGTAGAGTTTCAGAACAAATTTTACCTTCTGCACGGGGACGGAAAGAAGTTCGAACCATACACGCACACCAGCGCAGAAGAGGACGATGATCCATAGGATAACTTTCATCACTCGTATGTGGGGGAGGAACGACCACCTCAACCTGTATATTTTAGAAGTTTTCCGTATCCTCGCGAACTATATTAAGCGAGGATAGCCGAAGATCCTGCGGGCGACACTACCCCACCGATACGTACTCTTTTAGATTTTCTTTCAGATGGGCGATACACTCAAAGGCAAACGCGAACAATTTGATACTCTGGCACTAAACAATTCAAAATGTAAGTCAGTGGCTTCTGCCAATCTATGCAAAATTTCGTGGCCAAAGAGTCTGTGTGACACCTCTTCCTCACTGACGAGAACTATAACTTTCGCCATGGGCGTCGGAGCGGACTCTCTGGGTCCATTTCAAAAAGTTCTCTACTGGATTCGAGCTCGGCTGCCCTCCGAAACATAAAACGAGCTTGTTCCTCATCTCCTACTGAGCGCTCCAGCTCCGCCCAGGCCCGCCAAGGGGAGCTGTCCTTGGGGTCAAGGTTAATACTGCGCGATATGTAATGTCTGGCAACGGATATGTTGTTATGTGCTATTTCAAAGCGTGCAAACCAGAGCCACAACCACGAGCACTTATCGTCAACTTTCACGGCCTCTCCAAAGAGTTCTCGTGCTTTTTCTTCCCTCTCGCTTTCCCATTCCATCGCTGCCCAGGCATGAAATAGTGCCGCCCTTTCTTTTCCTTTGCTCGCCTTTGACCCTTCGTCAAAAAGCTGTCGCGAAACCTCCGGGTTGAATTGTCTTTGTTCAAGAAGTGCAAGTGCCTGCCATAGATAAGCTCGCGTTGGGTCAGCTTCAAGTCCTTTCGCGAATAAAGTCCTTGCAGCAGAAATCTCGCCACGGCTCTCCACAAGCTTCCCCCACGAACAATATAGCATGGGATCATCCGGATAAGCCGTGGCAGCCCTTCTGTATAAGCTGATTGCGCCGTGCAAGTTTCCTGATTTTTCCTCCATGCGTGCCCATGCTTGCCAAAGCTGAACCGCACTTCGACCTGTTATAGAAGTGCCTTTTGCGTAGTACTTCCTCGCCATGTCCCGATTTCCTTCAAATTCCTCAAGTTGGCCAAAAGAAAGCCACGAGAGCGTATGTCGTGGGTCCACTCGAGTCGCTCTCGTGAAACACTCACGTGCAGCAGACACCTTACCCCTTCTATACTCAAAAACGCCCAACGCATGGTGCAGATATGGATTGTCAGGCTCAACTTTGAGCCCCTTTGTTAGAATAATTCTTGCTGCATCAGAGTTACCGCGTTTGTCTTCGAGGACACCAAGGGAGTGATATAACCTAGTCGCTGTCGGACATACCCTCAGCCCCTGCCTGTACAATCGCCTAGCTTCCTCCACGTTCCCGCATTTGTATTCCATCGACCCCCACGAATGATAAAGAGAGGGCAAATCAGGATTCGCTTCCGCAACTTTGGCAAAGAGCCTTCTCGCTGTGACAAAATTACCAAGCCCCTTTTCCAAATCTGCCCAAGTCTGCCAAAGAATCGCATTGGTAGGGTTCGCCTTGAGCGCGCGTCTGAGCACTTCCCTAGCGCGATTAGTCTCCCCACCGCGCTGCAGAACTGTCGCGTAACGAACCCATGCCCTCCCATTCGAAGTGTCCAATTGCACCAGGGACTCATACATGCCAAGAGCGTTGGTTACTCGCCCTGCCTTTTCTTCAGTCTTTGCACTCTCGTAGAGAAGCTCCAACGCTTCGCGGGTGCCTTGTTCTGGTTTCAATGGTGACGCCAGTGGAAGCGTGGGCGCCTGATCGCGTCGAGCCGTGTGCACAGTTGCCCCTGGGCGAACACGACGCTCGGCACGTGCTCTGGAAGGATCACTGGGAGAGCCCTGCCTGGCAGAGCGGCCTGCCGCAGACGACATGGACGCATGCCTCGCTCGTTTGGGCATGGACAGTGCGGGGGTTGCAACGAAGGCCGCGTCGTCCATCGCAATTAGTCAGCGTACAGGCGATGAAAAGGTTCTCTCGAGTGGAGAGCACACTGCGAAAAAGTTTGAGCAGGAGAGAAAGGAATTGCCGCTGGAGGGACGGAGGTGCGCGCAATGTACGGGAGACAAACGAATTCCTCTTTTCAGGAGTGAGGACATCGGAACCAACTTCCACCGGAGCGCAGGGTAAGAATTCGAGGAAGAAGGGTACGAATCACGTTGTCCATATCGCCAGAAGAAGTGATCTGAGTGGCCCTCCGCGCGGGACGGTTTTTGTGCCATTTGATAGCACTGTACCCAAGGGTACCGGTACCTGCTGTGCCGTACAGTACCAAGGGTACTGTGCTGTACGGGTGTGGACATCTACAGAAATTATTCGTTTTAGCCGTTGGCTGCTGTTTTGGAAGTCAGTCTCCATATGATCGAGACTGCCAAAAAACCACCTTCGTCTTAAAACTAAAATCTTCATCTACGAGCCTCTTCCTTAGCCTAGCTAGGGAGTGCTTTTGGTGCCTTTCATTATGCCTTCTTTTCTTCCTGAAATGACCGGACTTGCGTCTTCGTAAAGAATTACTAAAAGTGCAGCACTTTGAATCTCCTAGAAAAACTGGGAGGTTATTTATTAAATCTTGACATTGAGTTTCTTCCTCAGCGTTCTCAGAGGGGTTGCGTTACTTGCTCTTCTTCCGAAGAGCCAGTACGGTGTCTCATTGATATCATAATGTTGTTCCAGTCCGCAATAAAGAGGTGTTTACACGTGACATTGACGAGTGACAGAATTGTCTACGAGTAAAGCATGCGTCGCGTTGGTAATGTTTTTAGATGATTGTCATGTCGCAAGTAGGATATAGATAATGCTACAGAGAGGCGAGCAATGAAGCGAGTTGAATTCACGAAATTTGAAGAGAGCTTAAATGAACAGCACAGCAAGAGAAATCAAGAAATTGGTATGCATAGGTCTCATATTCAGGAAAGAAATTCAATTTACTTCAAACCACGGACTTATTCTACGCTAGAGACATCGATACGTCCTTTCTTCCAGTGTGAATTCAATAAATTAGCGATACTCCCAATGGCCGATACCCAGATTTGAATAACACGCCGCCGAGCTTGATGCCCAGAGGAGCTTATCGCGAAAAGTCAACTCATCAATTGTCGAAGGTGGGTGTAGCCTTGAGGAGGTCAAAGAAAATGTCTTTGATGGGGTTTGCTGAGGCAGCAGAGATGAGGAGGACAGCGACAACAAAGAAGGTCGTCGTGTTCATTTTGATGACTTCTGTTGGTAGCAGAAGGAGATGAAAAGATATGAAGGTTGAAGAACTTGCTTTGCTGCGAAAATGCTAGGCTTGAGGAAACAAATCCCCTACATTTATAGTGCTGAAAATGAGTGGTCCCACATTACCGGGCATGGGGTCAACCGTGCCATCAATGGCCGGGGCCACTGCGAGCGGCCCACAGGCCGGGAGGTTGTAGAAGCTTTCTCTCCAGCAGGCACATTCTGGAAAGAGTTAGGGGCCTTTTCTTCAAATTACATCTTCCTTCGCCTGCCCATTAATCGCAAACAGGACCGGAGGGGCGGCCTCTTTACCTGTTGCGCTCGCTTCAGATATGATATTAACGTTCATTGCAAATTATAACCGAATTACAGAAAAAAGAACATCCTGCTTCCTCACTAGCTAACATCATGGAAATCGGACATTTCCGCAATTCCGTTTTATATGCAAGTACGAGCGGAATGCGGGTGCCCTTTGCATGGAGTGCATGACACTAACTATCATTTCCATGCCTGGGCGAAGCAAGACTTACAATGGCAATGGCCCCAGAACTTTCGAAGCCTGAGGTTCAGGGCGTACCACCTTTTCACATTGTTTATATACAGAAATGAACCTCTGTGACGGTTCACTTTGTAGGGGCTTTCAGATTAGTGACAAAGTTTATTTACAACCAGGGAGAACCCAGTGTTTTATCTACTTCTCACATACTGCACATGAGTGCTGTACATGAGTACGATAGCACATGTTCATGTAAATGGCTGGGCTCCTACTCACCGACACCTGCGTCAACCCAGCAGGGACAAAGAGCACAGTTCTGTGCTGTACGGGCATATGATAATGAAAAGTTCTCGTTTTCTCTACTGTAAAAATGGAAGGTAAAACATGTCTCTGTATGATAAATCGCCCGTGCAACAGCATATCCCCCTCGCCGCACTCGTGTACGCAACGCTCTTTACCGATCTTGTAGAGCATGAGCTGCGTCATGTCGTGTCCTGCTACGCCTTCGAAATGCCGGTGTCCATGGCAGTAGGCCCTCGTAGTAGTGCAGACGTTTTATTATTATTGAAGGCACATGCTTGTAGCCTGAAGACTGTCTTTACAGCAACAACTAAGACAGTACAATCTGACGCAAGCGGGCATCTGGGACCCGATTTTGATGCCACAATTGCGGAATACCACAGTTTGCTGAAGAATATTTCCGTGGCTCTAGTGCCATTTTGCGCCTGATGCACAACGAAATGCGTGCATGCCATTTATTTTTCGAATGCAATGCAAGCTACATTGTTCCATCCCGCCAGATCCCAGTTGTACATCCAGCGTTTGATGAAACCGACCGCTCCATTCACCTTTAGTTTTTCGGCCTGTAGTGCCTTACATTCGGAGATGGTCTGCATCCCCACGGACCCCAAAGGTACTTGCTTGCATGTCATTATTTTTGAGAAACAAAAAGAGTCGAATTGTGCCCCTTTGGGTCTTACAGCAAGTGGCTTTATGGTGCGACCGCCTTTGTACAGTATGTAGGAGGCATGCTGATCGCGTTGTTCGGACGAAGTGGGCGAGGTCAGGGTCAGGGTGTGAAGGGAGAAGGGAATGCATGTATGATGGGCGTGTGCAAGAAAGTGAGAGGCTAAACAAATTCTAGCTCTTACGAAGACGGTATTATACCGATTGCCCTTCGATTGTAATACTCATATGCTCGTGGTACTGCTGTAGCTAGTTAGTTTCTAATGGATCATGGTCCTCTTATAGGTTAATTTTCAACTTCCTATTTCCTCGACTTGCGCTTCTCGATAAGAAACAGAAAGATACTCTCGCCATCGCACTTGACATCTGCGTTGCGGATGGAAAGATTTCAGTGAGAACTGCGTATCCTTTCCACTCATTTTTAGAGATGCCGTGAGCTAGCAAAGAAGCTTTTTTTGGAAACCTTGAAACGCTTTGTATTGATACCTTCGATAAAAAACGCTCACTTAAACGGGAGACTGATTGTTTATACTCTCTTAGATCCTTACTCCTTCAGTGTATTCAAAACCGCTATCTTAATGTTTTGCAAGATGTTTTTGCCGGGAGCAAGTACGGTAGGGACATGATGTCTAAATTGACTCTCTAAATTTGCGATTTAATGTATGTAGTTTTACATCATCCCAATTTTCCAGAAATTATGGATAGCAGGGTTGGCTTACAGTTAGATACGCCAGAAATGCCGTCGCATTGCACATTCGCAAAGCCGTTGATTTTTTTTGCTGCCTTCTGTGTGGAACCAAAATCTGCTGCATCATCGATGTGCCGCATGCCAGCGACAAGTGTTTTGAAAGCCCCGCAAGGCTACCTGGTCGAAACTCCAGCGCCGCCCCTGATCAGCGTTTGCCGAGTTGCAAGAAGAGCGTCATCCCACCCCACAACACCTCGACATCGTTATCAAGATCGCACTTTAAACGCCTTACTCTGGTTTCTAGTATTGCTGGAATGCAATTTATGTGAGGGCACCCTGTACATCCTATCGAGCATTTACAGCACAAGGTTGGAAGATTAGAAGTCGGAAGGTTCAACACGTCTACACGTCCTATCTTCCCACCTGCCTTTTGTTGAAGGGGAAGCGTCTGCATCTGCCTTTCGTCTTTGTCACTCCTGCCGTATTTCCAGTGCAGTACACAAACTTTTGCGTTATCCATTGACCAGCACTTATGAGTCCTCACCTCGGTCAACGCCAGGTTGTGGTCCTTATTCGTGGGGTAAGTAGTCTTGTTCTAGTTGCCATCTATCCTTTTTAGGTCGAAATCTCGTCTCTTACTGACCTTCAGCGAGTGCTCGTCTTCTGAATTTATCATCGCCTCGCTTAGTACCCTGGTGTTGGCAAGACAACATTGGCCCTCGGTGTGGCCAAGGAACTAGGATATTGCTTGGTATGCAAAGACGATGTGCGCGAACCCGCCATGCGTCACGACGCTCGAGTGCTGGCTGACATCCGCAAGGTATGTCCGGAACATGCGGCTTCGATCCATGTTGATTCGAATGACATGACGTATGAGGCAATGTTTGCCGTCGGTCTGACGCAACTTAACGTGGGAGCGAAAGGGGTAGTTCTAGAAAGCCCGCTCGGACGCGTCGCACTCGGGGAGCGCGCAGTACAGATCACGAGGAAGGCTCAAGCTCTCTGCGTGCTCGTTGATTGCTATGCGGAAAAGTCGGTATGGGAGGAGCGGCTTGCGAAACGAACGTCGCGGGATTTCAGGCCTCGTAACGCCGATCAGATTGTTCGAAACTATGAGAACATTGAATACAAGATCGACTGCGACGCGCACGTGATGATAGACTGTGGCAATCCTTTAGAAGATAATGTGAAGTGTGTGATCAAAATCATCAACCAGCTCCTTGCCGATGAAACGTCGAGCTCGTGACTCTTGACAGGACAGCGGTGTAACCACTGGAGGATTAGGTGGAAAAAGCCTATTTAATGACCCAGTACGTGCTTAGTTTTAGCAGACTGCAGGCGAGGAAGCGTACAAAAGAACTGGACAAACTTGTGATCTAACCCTGTTCGCGTCGGCGCTGTACTTGACAAGGCTCAGTCCTGCTCTCCTCGTCCGACCTTTTCTCCGGCCTTGCGACTCTCGGCTTGGATGTAAAGAATGACGAGGAACGCGCAAGGGATCAAAGTACCCAAAAACACGGCAAGGTAGGCCGGGAAGGTCACAGCCATACCCTCGGCGATCGGCATGGACGGGAGAGTAGCAAGCGCTGTGTCAAGGCTCATCCGGGCGGGAGCTGCGCGGCGGGCCACGGGTCGGGTTGCCTTGACGCATTTGGAGGCCTAAATGATGGTTAAAGCAAACAGTAGTAGGAACGAGCTAATGGTTAGGTTTCCCTAAAAAGCAAATAGCGTAAAGACTGAATCTCAGTGCAGTGTTGAAGCATTGCGCCATGCTCGGGCAGACGCTTTTAATCGCGTAAGAACTGCAATGAGCGGTCGCCGCTGCGTTCGGTCTCCCGCGATATGCCGGGGCGAACCGTTTTCTGGAACATCGTGAGGTGCATTTGCAAGTGAAGCTCAGCAGGCCTGCAGAGATACATGAAACATGCAATGACGTACCGTGAAGGCGCCGGGGCGAACAGTGGCTGCGAGGCCGGTGGAACCTACGAAAGCGAACATAGTTGTTGCGAGGGAGTTGAAAATCGTGGAGGGCAGAGCAAAGGAAGGTAGCGCGGCAGAGATGTAGAAAGTGTCGGTGGAGCTGGACAGTGTCTAAGCGAGGAGAACTGCGGAGCGAAGGGAGTCACAAAATTTGTGACGGAGAGGGGGTAGTGAGAGTCGATATTATGGCTTCGCTTGATCTGCCCAGTCGAGCTCACCAATGAGCGGCGTCAAAAAGCTCGTCCGTGTACACGTGGCAGAGGACAGATGTCTCCAGATTGCACCTCGGAGATCGTGAGGGCCTGATTCGTGCTTTGCCGCGTAACCCTCAAAAAACCCGCATCCCTCTCCCCCACAACCATTGATCTATTCGCCTTCCTCCTCCTTCTTCACCTTCCCTTACTCGCCTCTTGAACGTCTACCCGTTTTCGCTCGTTTTGCACGCAAGTCTTTTCTCCCCCAAGCGCAACCGCAATGGCTTTTGTCGCTTCCTTCACCGGCGTCCCCGTTGTTAGGAACGCTCGCGCCCTCGTTTCGTCCAGGCCCGCCCGCGTGCGTACTACTAGGACAAGGTAAGTGTCTCACCTCATTTTTCGCAATAATTGCACTGCACTGCGCTCCTTTTGGGCAAAGCGCATGTCTCGATGACCAAATGCTTAAGAGTGGCAAGCAGTTTGGTACCCATGGACGGGGCAGTACGAATGTTTTGTTTGCGTGCTTTTGTAACTCCCTACTGACCATCGAATCGAATCCTCAACTTGGCATTTACTCTACTACCAGAATGTCCCTTGCTCCTATCGCGCAGACCATCGCTTTCAAGGCCTCCGAGGCCTCGCAATTGATCGCAGTGAAGGACGGCGACTTCGGCGGTTACACTGGGCCTATAATTGGCCTCCTTATCATCGGTGTCATCATCGCTGTCCTCACTCCTCCGGTAAAGGAATAGATCCCTGCCCTTTGTTTTGGAGCAGGTCATTTCGACATGTGCTCCTGATAATAGTTTCTACTAAACGGTGTATCGCGCTGAGTTTCCGTCCCGAAAACCTGGTTTCCTTTTCTTCCTTTATTTGCGCTACTCAACCCTCATTTGTTAACGATTCTAAACATGCTTGTAGGTTCCCTTCCGCGGTTTTGGGCTACCTCGTGCTCTCGCGGATGCCATGGTGCGGTAGTTGATCGCAGAGACGGTTGTTGGTGTCAAGTCTGCAGAATACTCGCAGTCCTCATAACGTCTGTCCTCTGCAATGGTTGCCAGAGATGTTGAAGAGAGGAAGACAGCTTGTGTACAGCCTTCGCCGCCAGCACCGCTGCGCTTCGCTCCACGTGGGCGGGGACTGAACCGCTCCTTCAACCAGTCTTGCGATAAGGTCTTGCGCACAGATTCGTCCAGCTCTCGCATCGTTGATGCTGGAAGAGGCCTTGCTTGAGGCATGTGCACTTTCGTCGGAGAAGGACTGACCAATTTCGATATGTGACTGGTCTTTTCGTGTTGGTCAGAGGGCGCTTCGGAGGAATTAAGTTTCAGAACTTTCGGTCGCCGCCGCCTTGATTGCTTGGTTCGAATCTGCGTATGCGGCCTTTCGATGGCCTTGACTTCGGTGAAAGTCATTCAACACGGTTTTGTAAATGCGTTATTTCTGATAGAGCAGACTTTGCTGGTGTAATATTTTTTGAAGAGATGTGAAAGCAATCCCCTTGGACGGGTTAAGCTTTTATTGAGTCCAAGACGCTCTTTGCTTTATAAGCGAGGAAGCAAAGTGAGGAAGCAAAGCGAGGAAGCAAAGCGAGAAATCCGTGGGAGAAAAAGCGTTTCTTTCCGTGACAAACGCTGTGTTTCGTAGAATTGATAGGTCAAAATTTCGTGTCACCATTGAATGCTGCAAATTTGTGCTTCAAATGTGTGTATGCAAAATCGTATTATTTTGGTAGACAAACGACATCACTGAATAGGCCAGGCCGTCCGGGTATGCTGGTGGCTTTTCATTATGGCGATCCAATCTTCCGGCGCCATGCATAATACAGTATGTCGCGAATGCAATGAGATATGAGATTGCCCATGTATATGTACCAGTACTTGTAGTTCCACTGTGCTTAAACGTGCGAAACAGAACCACAATGCGAACAGATTCCGACAGCCGTTCTTTGTCTCCGTGTGGAACTACAGCTTGGGGAGACTGCTAGAAATTGACGAATCATCGGATGATGGCACTGAGCCCGAGACCTAGACTGCAAGCTTTTTGCATCCATCGCACCACTGTCTGGCGCTCGTGCTGAAACCCCTCAATTTCCAAAGGGCTTCAGCTTACGCTGTGCAATTTTGGAATTTTATTATCACCTAAAAAGGCACGTTTCCCCGCCGAGTTAATGTAAAATTGTCCAAGTTCTCAATCTCCCTCTTCTAAACACGCAACAAGAGTTAGGTGGTCCGCGACGAGTGACAGCATAGCTGAATGCATACAGAATTTGTCATACCCAATAGGAGAACCAACTCTGGTTAAAAATGAAAGCACACAAGGCTGTTTTAAATAAGCATCCACAAACCCCCGCGGCAGGACCAAAGGTGGAAAGAAGCAAGTCACTTTCCCCGCCGCGAGCACTGGCGACTTGGGAACGCTCTATTCTCAGATGATATCAAAATGCTGGAGGATTGAAAGTTGAAGCACGAATATTGACAGAATTTCACCGCCTCAGTGATGAAAACGAAAGCTGCGGGTGGTATCTTAGGTTGGAACGATATGCCCTTCAGTGGGCTAATATCGCTCTGACTTTTCCCATATCAAATTTCCAATAAACGAAAGGAGGCTTATTTGCATTACATAGCTTGTCGGCATCTCCCATCTGCAATGCACTCCATCTATACAGCCTTCAACGAGGTACTTTCGTATAGTTTCATAGCGTCACATATTGCGGATATCCATCCTTCCATTCCCGGTCGCTCCGGATAATGCACCTGCTTGAACCCGAGAGACTTCGCCGCTTTCGCAGAAGTCTCCCCAATGCAAGCAACAGCAATATCTTCAGAGGCACCCACGTTCGCGACCCATCCTCGAACGGCGCTCGGCGAGGCAAACGTTACAATATGCGTGTCTGAAGCGAGGAGTTGATGCGCTTTCGACATCTTCGCACACTCAGTAGAATACGTATTTAGCCGGACGACAGAGTATCCCTTCGCAGATAGCCCATCGACAACATCTCCAGACGCCTTCGCGCTCGCAGGATAAAGTATTGATTCTTGTCTCGTTTCGGGAGTCGGAAACTCTTTGACGAGAGCTTTCCCTGTTGCCTTTGACGGCTCGAACTGTACCTCCAATCCAACGGCTCGCAGAGCATTGCCAGTAGCCTTCCCTACCGCCGCAATACGCCTAAGCTCGGGGCATCCGGCCTTCCTCCAACCCGCGATAAAAACAGCGGCAGCCTCGGGTGATGTGATGACGACCCATCCAGATGGACCGCTGGCAAGCTGTGTAGGGAGCTCGTCGCGATCTTTACCTTGAACAGTCTCCACGCATGGCAGCTCTAGGGTCTCTGCATAGGGAAACACAGCACGGAGTCCCTGTTGCAGTACAGCATTTTTTCCCCTCTCTCGTGTCAAGGCTATTCGTACAGGCGTTGGGATTTCATGAAGGGATCGGGGGTGCCCACTCTCAACACATGTCCATGTGCAGACTTTCCGCGGTCTCTTTCTCGCTGCGTTAAAGCGGAACAAAACCGGGGAGGGAGTGACAAATGCCATGGGGAAATAGGGGCCCGGTCTGGGTGAGAGAAAAGCGAAGTTTGTCTGGTCGAGGGACATGCAAGATGTTATGTACTCGAATGAAGTTCTATCCGAATATGGCATGATCAGCCGATGCTCATGCGGCTCCAGAGCTCCACAATTTCAGAATTTCGGGAGATATTTTTGCAAGTGGCAGGAGCATTTTCTTTTCTACGTAAATGAAGAGCTTTGATCGCATTTGCTATGTTGTGCTACAAGCAACGTCGTGGAGATGTTGACACGACGTGCAGATGTTGAGACATGAAGACTCCAAAGGGCTACCCCTACAGTACAAGTAGGACATGACATCAGGTGGTACATGGTGTCTGGTGCGTGAACGAGTCTTAACCCTCCACCCCACAGAAAACGTGCCCGCTGCAACTCTTCCGATGAATCTACCAATTTCCGACAACGAGCTCCACTAGATTAGTCAATTCTCGTAGTTTACATGTATGGCGTCCGGCTCTGCATGACTTATTTCAGGTCCTAAGAGTGACTCTGGATTGATCATAAAGCCCAAGAAGCGACGAACAGGTTTCTACGGCGTCCATTGTTTGGCAAAGGCTACTATTCCCTCGACCTGTTCGTCACTTTGGAACTTGCACGTTCCGTTTGCTGCCGTTGCCTTCCCTCCTCCTTTGCCCCCTGCAGGAGCCATCGTGTCCATCGCCCATTTGTTTGCCGGTATTTTTGTACTAACGGAACAAACACGCACAAGGTTTTTCTTGTGATCTACTGAAATAGCCATTACCGCACCCTCGGGCCACATTCCTCCGAACTTCGTTGCGACTTTGCTTAATGCTTTGCCATCACCTTCGAGTGGCACCAAGACAACTGCCAGGTTCTTTCCGTTCTCTTTGGCGGCCATAACTTCCTTTTCTGCCGCAAGAAGACCTTCTTCAAGAGCACCCTTCGAACGTATTTTCAACTCTTCCGTTGATTTCTTCATCAGCACAGCCATTCTAGAATGTAGCGCATTCTTCTGCACTGCACCCATGGTTGTCCCGTTCACTTCATTAACAAGCGCCGGTACTATGTCAGGTAATTGCGCAGAGGTAAGCTTCTCCGCGGCTGCAACCTTTTCCTCAATTGCCTTGCCTACTTCAGCTTTCTCAACTGCGGCATCCTTAGTCACTGCAGTGATGCGTCTTATTCCAGTAGCAACTGGTTCTTCCTGAATGATAAGAAAAGATTCAGCCTCTTTTGTGTTTTGCAGATGAGTGCCTCCACAAAACTCAATACTGAGGGCAGACCAGGCCTCGTTCAATGGATCAGCCACCAAATCTTCCACTGGAGCACCAATCGAGACCACGCGAACGGGATCTGGGTACGTCTCACCAAAGACTGCACGCAATGAATGAATTGCTTTCGCATCTGCCAGCGGAGTTACCCGGGTGTAAACTGGCTTGCTCTCCTCTACGGTCTTACACACAATCTTTTCCACTTCAGCCACTTGTTTACTCGTCAAGGCCTTTTTCTGCGAGAAATCAAATCGGAGCTTAGTGTGGTCAACTTCGGAACCCTTCTGCTCAACGCCATCTCCCAAAACTTTTCGTAGAGCGAAATTCAGAACATGCGTAAGAGTATGGTTGGGCGCGATCTTTCCTCTGTTTTCATAGTCCACTGCACAAGACACCACACCTCCCACCTTAAATCCGGGTCCATTAGAGACCATTTTCCCAATATGGAGGATGAAGCCGCCAAATACCTCAACCTCTGTCACTTCAAAGAGAAAATTCCCGCTCGTTGCATCGAGCAACAAGCCAGTGTCAGCAACTTGACCACCAGCCTTCGCGTAAAAGCTTGTAGAATCCAGAATAACTCCGAAAACCGCCCCCTCAGCGAGCTTCTCTGTTGACTCGACGAAGTTGCCACGGCCACCACCGAAGATGGCTTTTACAGTTGCGCTTGGAGTCTCGTTCCAGATGTACTTTGCGTCATCTTTGGTGGGCACAATCCCTTTGCTGCCAAGATATGCCGTCTCCTCAGCTTCCAAAACAAGTCTAACTCCATCAACACCAGACCTGCTGGCGCGATCATTGCGCGACATATCTCTGGCAGCCTCCATTGCCTTGTGATATCCGTCTTCGTCAACAGAAAGATTGACCTCTTCTGCCATTCGCTGCGTGAGATCAAGCGGAAATCCCATTGTGTCATACAAGAAGAAGGCATCCGCTCCTGAGATAACCTTTCCGCCAGTCTTCTCGAGTTCTCTTCTGATTTGCTTAAAGCGTTCAGTTCCACGACCCAAAGTGCGCAAAAAGGTGGTCTCCTCGTGTGCTAAGATCTCAACGACATGATCGCGCTTCTGATGAAGCTCCGGGAAGGCTTCTCCCATTGAAGCAACAACGGAGTCAACAAGGCCCGAGAAAAAACCATCTGGTGCCTTTAGAAATTCTCGGCCGTACCGAACTGCACGGCGGAGGATTCGACGAAGCACGTAGCCTCGGCCATCGCTATCTGGCACGGCACCATCCGTAACGGCGATCGTGAGGGTGCGAATGTGATCTCCGATGACACGATAAGCCATGTCGACACCGTCAACATCCTCTTTCCCCAAAAGTCCGGCGTAGGGCCTGCAACTTGTCGCAATCCGAATTGCTTCGAAAATCGGCATGAAAACATCTGTGTCGTAGTTAGACATCTTTTCTTGAAGAATAGAGGTGACGCGCTCAAAGCCCATGCCTGTGTCAACATGTTTGTTTGGGAGTTGCCTGAGAGAGCCATCGGGCTCTCTGTTGAATTGGATAAATACGAGATTCCATATCTCAATCACGGTGGGGTCATCCATATTGACCAGTGCGGACGCGTCCCTACCTCCAATTCTGTCAAAATGAAGCTCGGTGCATGGCCCACATGGTCCAGTGTCTCCCATTTCCCAAAAGTTGTCCTTGCAATCAAACGGGAGCACGCGGCTCTCCGGCAAGTACTTGAGCCAGAACTGACGCGCCTCGAGGTCTGGTTCTAGGCCTTGCTTACCATCGCCTCCAAAGTACGTAGCATAAATGCGCTCGGCAGGGAGTCCGTATTTTCCAGTGAGGAGTTCCATTGCCATGTCGATCGCGCCCGCTTTGAAGTAGTCTCCAAAACTCCAGTTACCAAGCATCTCAAAGAAGGTGTGATGGTAAGTGTCCTTCCCGACGTCATCGAGATCGTTGTGCTTGCCTCCTGCACGGATGCACTTTTGGGAGTTGCACGCACGCTTCAGGGTCGACAGGAAGGAATCCGGGGGAGCCACTCCTAAGAAAATTGGCTTATACTGGTTCATACCGGCGTTCGCGAACAAGAGAGTGGGGTCATCGTGAGGAACGACTGGACTCGAAGGCACGAACGTGTGCGCGTGCGACTGCGAAAAAAAGTCAATGAATGTGGAGCGAACTCTACTGGCGGGCCATGCGAGTGTGTCCTCCACAATTGAATTCTCGGTGATTCCCATGTCGTCAAGTCTTCCCTGAGCGCTAACAATGTTCTATCACAATAAGGATCAGCGCGGTGCAAGCTGAGGAAAAAATGAATGGAGACGATATGAATGTGGGGTTGAGCAGGGATGTGACAGGGGCTTGTGAGACTTAAGGAGGGACGAGACAGCAACACTATGGTACAGTACCGGACGACGACCGGCTCGCCATGGCGCGCTGGATCTTCTGTACTACATATACTGTAGGCACGCGATTGCTCGTGCCGCATTGCTCTCAAGGGCTTTGCGCCATGGCCTGCGCTGACGTTCAGAAAGTCGGGCAGGAATTCCCGTAGTTGTGTACACGTGGCCCAGTGTTCTGGCTGGCTTCCTTTTCCATCGTAGACTTCTTGAAAACATGAGCAAGAGCCACAGGAAGAACCCATACTGTACCCATACCATACATACATAAAACAATCCATGAGGGTTCAAGACGGTGAGGTGGAAGAAAACTTGAGTAGCTTTGTAGAAGTGCTGCTTCGAAACACAAACTGTTTGATGAGTCCTTTTTCAAAACACGTGCAACGTGGATATCGGAGTACAGTATGAGCTTACGAGTGACATCTTCTAGTCTATGCATCTCGAACGGATATGTCTCCTTGTGGTATGGCAGTCTTCTCAGGGTGAGACTAAATATTCTTGCAGGCAAGCTACTTTCCCTCTTTCTAACTTGCGCAGTAATAATTCTTTCGGTCCCGTCTATAGACTTTTAATATGAAAACCTTTGTAGGCGGCAACTCACGTTGAGCCAGCGTCGGTCCTTTTCCGCAAAGTTCTCGGCAACTTTTTTAGTCCCAGGAAGGTCATTCTTATTAGCGCATGGGTGATAAGGTTTCCAGGTGTGCACTAAGAGCAAGGAAAAATGTTCCGTGCACGTAGTACCTGTAAATTAAACTAACGTGCTCGTGCATAACGCAAAAAGCATAAGTCAAACTTGTTAACGACCTAACCTTTTCAGCACAACCTCTCGCATTGCTCCAACCGGTGCCTCAACGTCTGGGAACCAAAGTTTAAATTGTTCTCCGGCCTGCCTGACAAACATCTCCAGCCCGGATACCGTCACGCATCCTGCCGCGGTCGCCTCCTTCAACATCCTCGTTTCCAATGGGTTGTAAACTGCATCGAAAACAACCATGCCCTTTCGGAACAACCGTTTATCCACTGGGCTATCCTCTACCCTCGGGCTCATACCCACGCTCGTTGTGTTCATGATGACGTCAAACTCTTCTTCGTCAACCATTTCATCAAGTCCGATCCCGCTTGCCAGCGCTCCCAAGTCCGCTGCAAGTGCTTCTGCCTTAGCCTTAGTCCGGTTCGCAACCACCACATGCCTAGCCCCCCGCTCCAGTGCGCCGAATGCAAGCCCTCGCCCCGCCCCACCAGCACCTATGCAAAGCACTCTCTTTCGTTGCATTCCGCCCTCTACCTTTTCTTCCACTGCCGACAAAGCGGCCACCCAGTCCGTGTTGTAGCCCTCCAGGGTTCCATCCTCTTTCTTCACAACGGTGTTAATTGCCCCAATCCTTCTCGCCACGTCGTCGATCTTATCCATGGCCTCCATCGCGACAAGCTTCCCTGGAATCGTCACAGAGAAGCCCGCAAAACCTCGCGCCGCCATCTCACGTATGAAGTGCGGCACCTCGGCGTCCACTTTTAGCGGGAAGTACACGCCCTCCTTTCCGGTAACACTCAAAGCCGCATTATGCACTGCAGGACTAGCCGAATGTGAGACAGGGTTACCGATGACACCGTACATGGGGGTATCAACTCCAATGGAGCGGAACCGATACAGCTGGTTAAGAGTATCCGCATCTACTTGTCCTAGTGCAGACTCCTCGCCCGCCGCAACGCTCGCAAATGTCAAGAAAGCCCCAAAGCGCGGTGCCGCCAACCGCGAAAGCTGACCCAGCTCTCCCATGGCCAGCATGATCGTTGGCACCTGCGCCCCAATCAGCGTATCAAAAACGAGGGCATTGTGCATGGCGCTCGTCGCCATCATGGCAATCTTATGAACATCCGCACCCGCCTCCTTCATACCCCGCTGCACCTCTTCCACCTCGCCAGGTTCCAAATGGCGGTGAAAGTTGTGATGGCTGAGAATAAGCTTAGTCCCCATCATTTCAATGCCCCGTTCGTCCAAAATATGTTGGAACCTGGGCGCAGCCTTGAGCTCGACATCGACAAACGGGACACCGAGAGACACAGCGTGCGCGAGCATCCCCAGGCGCGCGTCCTCGTCGTCCGGGGCGTTTCCACCCTCCCACGAGGCGCGGTTGGTGACGATAACCGGAAGCTCGCGGCCGGTGAAAATGGAGGGCCAGTTGGGTTGCTCAGCGAGGTCGAGCAGGTCGATGCGGATCTCGGCCAAGTCGGCGCCGGCGGCCTTCGCGGCGGACATTTGTGCCAGCTGGGCGGAGACGGTGGTCGCCGTGAGACTTGTGCAGATGAGGGTGGAGGCCGTGGGCGGGGGAAAGGGAGAGGGGGACGGATTGACCGCGGTGGAGGTGGCGACGGGTGGGCGCGTGGCGCGACGGTTGGGTGCGGTGCGTCCGTGCAGGCGGCGGGGGGAGACTTGGGCAGTGGAGGAGGTGGATAGGGTGGTGGGGCGGGCGGGGACGGTCATTGCAGTGGTAAAAGCCATGAGGGAACGGTTGTCATGAGACGCCGCGGCACGGTGGGAATGCGCCATCGGAGGATGGGTCAGCGAGTGCGTGAAAGGAGAGAGGTGATGTAAAACACCCTGGGGGCTTAGGTTTGAGGATGGGGTGGATTGTTTGAGAGAGCAACGGGCGGGTTGCTTCTTTGTTTGCGAGTGAGAAGGAAGAAGACCCACTGGAGGTGGATGGTGAGATTGACATTTGCTCGCGATGATGCGGGAGCTAGTTGTCCCCAGTGATGTAATAAAATAATGCCTATGATTATATTATACAGCAGGGAGCTCAAGTATTAACTGTAAGCAGCGCTGTCTGTAAGATACACACGTGGGATAGGTGGACAGAATGTATCTCTGGCAAGGTATCCAGGTTTGCGGATGTCAGACAGTGTCCTTCCAGGGATGTGCACTTTCAGCTGCGTGTTCAAAGGACGTGAAGAGGATGAAAGTGCGGGAAAGCGAAGCTGAATGGGAATGAAAATCCCATTCGAGAATTAGACTCCGAAGTAGATTCGAGGTGCGAACGCGAGGAGCTTCGACCTGACGATAGAACTACGAGATGGATGAAGGGGTGCGAGGAGCGGCCGAAGGGCCGGGGTCGAGGGAAATAAATACAGGTGGAGCGAGCTGCCCTGCGCGAAAGGGAGTCTCGAGGACCTGGAGGTATCCTTTTGGTGCCGTATCTTGTTGCCTTTGCTAAGGTTGCGTGCAGTTCCGTTTCCCACCCAAACTCCAACGGAAGGAGGATCGTGCCCGCCTGCGACATCCCGCTCACTGTTTCCTTGCACACGTGTAACCATGTCTCATGCGTCTGATAGTTATCGGCCCAGTAAACCCGGGACTCGCAGTGCTTACGATCCTCCACTATTTTCTGAAAATGAAGATCGGTATTCGTACAAGTTTTTGGTGCGTGAATGGATCCAAATGCACAACAAAGTGAAGGATATTGACAAGAAAAGCATGGGTGTATACCTAACTGCTGGGGACAGGATTCTGATGAGCCTGCCCCACAGTGTACAATTCACTGTGCGACAAAAGGCAAATGAAGGCGGAATCAATTTGAGCAGCCACAGCGGAATAGAAGTAGTTGAGCAAATCTTGAAGGTTGTCGCGACTGACACTCAAGTTTCGAACAACCCTCGGCTCTCCAAAGCGTATGCAACCGTCACTGCGATGAAGCGAGAAGAAAGTCAGCAAATTATGGAGTACGCTGAGAAGTTCAAGGGACTGGCTAATCACTACCTCATGCTGACTAACGCTCCAAATGCGTCGGTCACCTCTGAACAGCTAGCGCACTTGATGCTGACGAATGCCAGCCTCAGCTCAGATGTGCACTCTTCCGCTATCATGCGCCTCACGTCTGTTGTGTCCGAAAGGGCTCAAAGCAAATATGCACATGTCCCAACAGCAACGGCAGTATTACTTGGGTTGAAAAATTCATTTGGAGGGCTCCAAGAATACTGTATTACATCCTCTGAGTCGTCTGCAAATGACGTGAACTCACTCCTGTCCTCAATGGCATCTGCCATATCGGATGTGCAGAGTAAGCTGCAACACTTCCCTCGAGATGGATGTCGGATAACTCCTCTCCGCCCTGGGTTGGGTGAGAGGCGGAGGGTATTAGCGAGGGAGCACGCGACGTAGACGCGACGCGCTAATTGAACCGATCGGACGAGCTCGCGAAAAGGGAGGGGCTCACTGGCCGGTTACGCGCAGTCGCCCCGTGGTGCGTGAACGGGAGCGACCGGTAACGGGATAGAAGCCAGCGCGCGCGACAGACAACCGAAAACGGACGTACGTAGGCGCAAAAGGGACGGGGGCGAGCTTGCCCCCGTTTACTGATGGGGACGGGTGCCAGGTCTTAACCCCGCAGAGGGACGCCTCGGACACCTGTCCCAGTACAGTAGTACAATACCTGCCGCCTAGTGCGTGCCGGGTACTGTACACAATTAAAAAACTAGCGCCATAATTGCTACTACCGCACGGACGCTGCTACTACACGTGTGCACTACTGTACACGCGTGTTGCTTACAGACTACCGCACGGACGACACGTGTGCTAACGCGCACACGTAACACGCGTAGACTACCGCTCGGACGACACGTGCACTACTGTACACGTACGCCAGATTACGACCGCTCGGCATGCGCGCGCGCTCGCTACACGTGGGCACAGCCGCCCACGTGTATACCGTATACGGCCGTCCGATGACCTCCGCGCGCTCGCGCCGGTCATTATACTACAATGGACCTGGTGAGGAGGGGTGTATGCTTCGTGCTACTCTCAATGATGCATACTCAGTACTGCAAGACGTACCACAGCCACAGCCAGAACCGAAAGTGGAATTCAGGACTCTTCTATCAGCACAACCAATCATATCTAAAGAGCGTCGTCTACAAAAAGGCAGATTTCAAAGAAGACGACCAAGCGGGGGCTGCTATGACTGTGGTAGCACTGACCACAAGCAAGGGTCGCTCTCCTGTAAGGGACCTAGTATGATTGGCCGAAAATGCAAGAAGAAAGCCGAAAGGGAACTGTTCCAGCTTCCCCGATCGCACTCCCAGATGCTTGCCCACCAACCCGAGCAGACTTCATCCCACAGAAGAGCTCTGGTCGATTGGGTTTTCGCCCCCCCGGCAGTCACTGACGTATCAGCGGTCCTTGCTTGCGTACAAATCGCCGTTAGGTGATGATGATGCAATCCAAGGCGAGAAATCGGTAGGGAAAATCGTCGATGCTAACCCGATCTGCGACCCAGGATGCCCGCGTACTGTCGAGGGATTAAAATAATTATCAGAACTTTCGCTAGCGCTCGGCCAACAGTTCAAGCTCGACACGTTGGACGGCGCCCCTTTTGTGCATGGTTTCGGGATATACTGCTCCGATTCGTCTATCTCAATCGGAATTTGGCGCATGACAGGGATAGATCTACAAGACAGAGAGTACAGAGTAAACTTTTACGTCACCAGAGAAGAATGCCCAGCTCTCTTCGGAAACGATTACCTCAGCCACATGGATATGCTCGGACCAAAGTCCCTATTGGATGCACCGCCAGGTGTACTAGCGAAAAAGGGAATCACATTGCCAACGTACACAGACAATAATATGCGAACATTCTTAAATTTGGTAAGTCAACGTTAAAAAGCTGTGCGGAAACTATCGGAGGCCTTGGAGAACGGCACACGGCTTTCAGAGCAGCACGCCATGAATTCAGCATATTTTGTCGGAGATCATTCTCAACTTTCACAGCAAGATGAGCAAACCAGCCTTCGCAAGCATGTAAAAAGGGATGCCTTAAGATCAAAGGTAAAGGACTCAAGGGGTTCTCGATTGCTCGAGCGACGCCTTCACCTAAGCACGCACTTACACTGGCGTGACATGTGTAAAATTGCGAAAGGGCAGGCATAATGACCCCGGCCCTTGAAAAAGCTCTTCGCACGACATACGAGCGGTGTGAGGCATGCGCAGGGAGTGGAAGAGCGCTCATAAGTCGAAAGGCCCCACATTCTGTGAAGGATACATTTAATGAATCTGTTCAAGTATACTTCTGCTATGTTCCCGAGCTATCGGAAATGCCGATACTTGCTGTCACGGAGCACTACTCAGGGAGGACGAGACACCAGTTGACGCGTTCTCGGGATATGGACCACATAGCCTCCACCATCGAGACTCTCCATATTCTTAAGAATATGGAGAGTCTCGATGGTTCAATTGAAGATGGTCCACCCGAAGAGTTGCGGGCGGACCCAGAGTTCGACAACGAGTCCATCAGGGACATGTGCGCACGGCACTCTATACAATTTCGAGAGACCCCAGCCCGTCGCCACAACAAAATTGGAGCGGTCGAACGCTCGCACGGCATTTTTAAAGTCATAGTTCGCAAATTCCTCTCCCAACACGCCATGTACTCTTTTCACGCCAGCCATACAAGTGATATTGACCACTTGGTAAAGGCTGCATCTTTCGCAACAAGTATCATATCGGGATCACAGGAAACATGCCCATTCGAGAGAGCAAAGGGCTATATGCCAATGGTCTATGGACTTCCGCAAAGTCCAGTTTCTGCCGAAATGAACGACGCATTTAGTGAGAAACGCGCAATTGATGCAGTGGAAGCTATGCTGAAGGGACACAACCCGAACACAGTTCCTCCCAATCTACTGCGACCAGGGAACGGAAGGGCCAAAGAAATATACTTTCATGTACGAAACCACGCCAAACCTTCTAAATGGCATATAGGTTATGTGCAGCATCTCGGACCTTTCGTTGCCCACGTATCCCACACCGAAATGGGAAGTGGAAAACATCGAAAGATCGCATACGAAGATATCCGGCTCGCACCTCGCAACCCGCTGTTGGAGGAGCTTGTCGAACAGGGTCTGCTTTTCGAGCCATACGGAGCGTGCGCCCCAGAACCCCTTTTCGACACAGGACGAGCAGCAGCACTTGAATCAGGCAACGACGTGCTCAACTCTACGCCGCCGTCCGCTGGTGGGCTGCTCTCGGAGCAGAGATTATGTTCCAATCATCACAGCCATTGCAAGGATCAATCAACATCACGTGGTCCAAGTGCACTCCAGGCTATCCACACTACGCTGCTTACCACCTTTTTCAAACAAGAAAATCCTCAGCGTGATATCGGTCATACATTGAGCTCTGCGAAACACGCAAGTCTTGACCCAGCTGGTGTAACCAGGTTGGAATCCTCGAAACAGAAGATATTGCAGGATGCTCGGGATCTTTGTAGTACAATTCCGTACCACAACTCCCCGGCGAGATGATAACCGCGCGGGAGGGCGGGTGGTACTGTAGCGAGCAGGCGTACACGCGCCCGCCGCCGTGCACAGTAGTACCCCAAGGGTCCGACGTGGGACAGCCGGTAAAGCGGGCGTGGCCACGGGTAACACGTGGCACAACAGTTAGCCGGGATCGTGGCCACGGGCACACGTGTATAATCCGTACGGTGGCTAACTAGTAATTAGTAGTTAATGGCACAAATTAGCCAATTTAGCACAGTAGCTGGTATACAGTAAGTA